TGGGAAAAAGAAGCTGAGTCAGGGAGTCGCCATGGTTCTCCCACGCCAGACAGATGCAGGTTAAGATCCTCCCTGGTAAGCCAGCTCATGGGCTACACAGAAATGGGTTAGAACAATAAGTAAGAACTAGCCAATAAGAGGCTACAGATAACAGGCCAGGCAGTGTTTAAAAAAATACAGTTTCCGTGTAATTATTTTGGACATAAGCTAGCCATGCGGGCGGCCGGGTGCCGGGGACGCAGCCCCGCCGCTCCTATCTCAACACTTATGCCCCGAAATAACTACATGGAAACTGTATTCTTTTAAACACTGCTTGGCCCATTAGCTCTAGCCTCTTACTGACTAATTCTCACATCTTGATTAACCCATTTCTAATAATCTGTGTAGCACCACAAGGTGGTGGCTTACCAGAAAGGATCTTAACCTGAGTGCTCTTCTGAGAACAAGTTCCAGGAGTCTCCCAAGGTCAGGCATGAAATAACTGTAGTGCCAGTTTTTCACTCACAAAAAGAAAGTGGCAGACATCATAAAGACACAATTCCTTGTCCCAATAACTGACTTTCTGCACTTATTTTTATGAACTAGGCTCTCAGATGAGGAAAAGGAAAAAGGAAAGCCCGCCCTCCACCATACACATAGACAGTCACTACACTTATACATGTCCACAGTATGATCTAGAAAGAGGGCTCCACAGCACTGGGAAAAATCTTGACCCCAACCCCTGCCAGCACTTGGGAGACAGAGGTGGGGGATCTCTGTGAGTTTGAGGCCTGCCTGGTCTCACAGCGAGTTCCAGGACAGCTAGAACTGTTTCAGAAAAACCCTGCCAAAAAAAAAAAAAATCTTGCGGGGGTGGGGTGGGGCAGGCTATTTGGCTTCCTCTATATATTACTGTCCTCCACTGCTGGGCTTCTGACCTGGCTCACCACCAAACCAGTGGGGGCCTTGATATTTAGGAAACAGGTGGAGAAAATTGATATTCTGATGATATACCATGACCACTTAATGTTTGAGACACCATGGTAAAATAAATAAACCTGGGCTTTTTCTAATTTGGTTTGATGTGGCCTGATTGGGGTTATGGCTTCAGTGGAGAGGTTTATTGGGGGGCAGAAACTTTTCACACACTACAGGCACTCCAGCCCTTCATAATGGTTAATTACTGGACTATCCTGGAGACCCAGCTGACGAGTACACCACCTGTCTCCTTTTGACCAGTCTGGGTCAAGCAAGTAGCCCGATGACACTGGAACTAACCTGGAAAAGCCCCTAAAAGGTTTGATTCTCTCTACTTCTAAAGCAGTGAAGAGAGCTGGCATGATACTAAGGACCCATATCACCTGGAGCAAGAAAGCAGAAGCCACATTTGCTGCCAAATGGACTGTCTCTGGACAATGGACCCACTAAAATTAGATTCCACCGATCCCCAAGCCCTTCCACTCCCTATCCTCTACCTCCTACAGGGTCTAACACCTGGTATGAGTTCAGGGTCATGCTCCAGTGGGGACTGCCTTTAGGCCTGGACCAGGGAATGACAGGAAAAGTTATTACCTAATATAATTACAGACCAGCAGCCCATATTCATTCTGACCTCTGTTCACTGATGCCCACTCTAAATACCTGGTTGTATTACAGAAAGGAAAGACATGGGGCTTTATCTTTTGAGACAGAAATACAGAATTTACAATTCTATGCATGCCCTGTGGCTGTGCCAGAAGAAAAGCAATTTTCTATTACAAAATTCAGTTTTGTGAAATTGAAGCTTCCTAAAAAAAACTTCATTAAGGGGGCTGGAGAGATGGCTCAGAGGTTAAGAGCACTGACTGCTCTTCCAGAGGTCCTGAGTTCAATTCCCAGCAACCACATGGTGGCTCACAACCATCTGTAATGAGACCTGGCGCCCCCCCTTCTGGCATGCGGGCACACATGGAAGGAATGCTGTACACATAATAAATAAATAAATCTTTAAAAAAAAAACTTCATTAAAAGATTCAGGCCTCTGGGAAATAGAAAATACTTGCAGAATCAAGCCCTATGCCATAGGAAGGGACCCTGAGGCTGTCTTAACCATTCCCAGCCAGACATAAGCCAGGACTGTTGGTTATGTTTAGACACCTGGCCCCTGCCATACTACACAGGGATAGGAACTGGCTGTCAGCCCACTGACAGATAAAACCCACTGTGACTAGAGGCAGCCCAAATTAATGTTCTGCTTTATGGGTTAACTCATCAAGATCAAAACAAGATTGAATCCCTAGGACTGCTTGGTGGGCATGTACCAATAGTTAGACTACATGTACCTCTTCTGATGATTTCCATAGTAAGTAGACAATTTGTTCAAAAAATGATATTAAAAGGTTCCGTTTTTGAGTTAAAACAACAGCCAGATTCCCTTACAAAAGTGATCCTACAAAACTGAAAAGACTCAGACTTACTTCTCACGAGATAAAGGAGACAGTGTATGGCTTTGGAAAACAACCTGTTGTTCCCATGCTAACTGATCAGGAGTAACTTAAAAAGATATTGCCACGGTTGGGCAAATACCTGAAACCAGTTTCTGTTCTCCTTGTCCCACTGTCTAACTACCCTGCAATCAGCACTGACTGGGCACTTAATTCTCATTCTGATTGGATTCATCATGGAATCCTGCATCTTAACTAAAACAGGATGAGTCTATGATTTGACTCATGAACTCAGTTCAGTGGGAAATGTAACAGGCCAAAGTCCCTAGTAGGCCCCCAGACTTTAGCACAACCAAATCCATGAGGGAAGTGCCATTCAGGATGAAGAATTCCGCATATAGAAAGTACCACCTGCCAAAAGAAAACAAAGGCCTCATCCATCAAAGTGCATATTTACAGCAAGTCTCTACATGCACCAACCTTGCTTTTTAGTCTGTAGCTCTGCTTCTGGCTAATGGTTCCTGTTAACTGACGTATGTCAACCCAGAACATGGTTTCTGTGCTTAAAAGCTCATCCTGGGAAAGGCTTGGGGCTACGCTGGGATACAGGAACAGCCAGTGGAGCTGCAGGCCAGCTAATAAAAGACTCTCTCTTGCCTTAAACCCATGTTCCGGCAGACTTCTCTGGTGAAGATCCAGAACAAACACCTCAAGAATCTTTCTCTATAACCGACCACATATTCAGGCACAAAGCAAGTCTCAACAGATAGAAGAAAGCTGAAATAAGCCCTGTACCCTGTCAGACCACCACAGATTAAAGCTGGACATCAACAACAGTAGAAGAATCAGAAAGCTTACAAACATGTGGACCCTCAGGACATCTCTAATGAATGAAAAATGGGTTAAGATAGAAATAAAAACAGAAGTGATAACCATGCCACAGACTGAATGCTTTTTCAAGGTACTAGTCCATGGGGCTGGAGAGGTGGCTCAGCAGCTAAGAGCACTGGCAGCTCTTCCAGACATCCAGAGTTCCATTCCCAGCAACCACACGGTGATTCACAATCATCTGTAGTAGGATCTGCTGCCCTCGCCTGGAATAAAGACATACATGTAGACAGAGCACTCATATACATAAAATAAGTATCTTTTTTTTTTTTTAAATCATTGTTTACTAGTAACCAAGAACAACTCCCCCCCCCAATATAAAATCAGTCCACTGCTCTTTCATTTACCCTTATCTGATTTTCCAGGACATGTACAGAATACAAAGAGATAATATATTACACAACCTGTCTTCCTGACTCTGCTCTTGCTGTGAAGAAGCACTATGATCAAGGCTTCTCTTATAATGGAAGGCTTTTAATTTGGCGATTGACCAAGGGTCAGTCCATTCTCATCTTGAAAGGAAGCTTCACAGTGGGCAGACATGGGCTGAGGGTTAAAACATGGCAGGCCGCAGGCAGGAAGAGACAATTGTCTTGCACTGGGTTTCTGAAACCTCAAAGCCCACCTACAGTGACACACCTATACAAACAAGACACATCTACTCCCAGAAGGGCTCAGTTACTTCCACTAGTTGGGACAATCATTCAAAGATAGGAGCCTGAGGATGCTGAGCAAATATAAACCATGGCAGGAATACAATCTATGAAAAAAGAGCTCTAAAGGAAAGAGTGAAAGACACTAAGGAAAACAGAGATAGATAGATAGATAGATAGAGAGAGAGAGAGAGAGAGAGAGAGAGAGAGAGAGAGAGGAAGACGAGAAGACAAAGAGAGACAAACAATAGGAAAAACTATTTCCTCCAAATAACGGGAGTCAACTTCTCTGTTTGGTTACAGGCTTCCTTAATATAACCTTCCCTACCCCATCTAAGAAGAGATTAAACAATTCAAGGCCTCCAAACTTAGGTTTAAAGCAACATCTTTTCTCTGAGTGCAAGGCATGATCCTCCCTTTCCCTCCCTACCCAGTTCCCTCAGAGAACCTGGGAACCTTGGATCAGGTCTGCTGGAAGCAACGAAGGCATCAGTCTCTTGCTGTGCTGAAGTGTGGATGTTGTAGATGACGCCATCGGCAAGCTGCATTCTACCGAAGTGGATGTTTCCTCCACAAGGCTACAAAAGTTTTAAATTCTATTGACCTTTTTGTTTTTGTAATTGTTTCTCCAGACAGGCTGTCTTTCTGTAGCCCCTGGCTGTCCTGAACCGTGCTCTATAGACCAGGCTGACCTCTGCTTCCCAAGCACTGGGTTTAAATGCCCGCATCACCACCTCTGATTTAACTATTTTAACAAATTAAGCCTGAAAGTCTTCAGTTCAGCAAACATGGAGTGTCACAAATCTGTCTGATAACAACAGATGTCCTGCACGGTAACAAGGACGTTCCCACACAAAAGCTCAGTTTCCTCCACGCTCTGCGCGTGCAGCAGAGCGAAATCTCAGAGGTCCCTCTTCATCACGGGAGTCGCAGGGATCTCAGGGGGCAAAGGGAATCACTCCGGCCACCGCGTCCTCCGCCGGTTCCCACAGACCCGGCAGGACCCCACATCGGATCCCGCGGCTCCACCTGCGTGGGGACGGCGGCCCTCGCTCACCATGGCGGGTTCCGAGCTCGCCTGGCTCTCCTCAAGGCTCCGGGCTCCGGGCAGCGGGTCACAGCGCAGCACACGGAGCAGTAGAACCTTCCTCAGTCCGGAGACAAGGTGTTTGCAGCACCGCGAACCGGAAGTGCCCTCCCCATGCTGACTGACAGTCCATCTGGAGGTCCTGATTGGCTACTGAGGCCTGAGTGCCAGGAGCGGCGTCCTTAGGGACAAAGTATTGTGAAGGGACGCAGCACAGTGGTTCCCAGCCCTGGCTTCCAGCCCAGACCTGCAGAGACTGGCATTGCAGCAGAACTTGGGGCTGGACTGCAAAGTCTTCCCTGAACAATCCCTGCACTCAGTAGGACTCTTTTCTGGTAGTGCTAAAATGTTTCAAACTTGTACCTCATTTTATAAACAAGGCCATTTGATTTGTCAGATGTGAATTCAAGCCCAGTGCCTGAAATTTACAAGAATTTGTTTTAAGTTTATAAAATGAGTTACAACTGTTAAACGTCTTAGCATTATCACTCTTTTTGTAATCTGTACTAAAATCCACACATGAAAAGAGCAGAAGCTCAAGCTTTTGTGTCATAGTAAAAGACTGGGGACCCAGACATGAACACCCTTTAAAGTGAGCTCAGGGAGGACAGGAACCTTCAGAGATGAAGGGCAAATGCTCACTCGACCATGATTTTCAGTATGTCTGCAGATCAGGAAAAGCAGGGCCTCTTCCTTCTGTCCAGAAGACTGGGTGTATACACACGAGACAGTTTTTTTTTTTTTTTTTTTTTTTTTTTTTTTTTTTAGCACAATGAGAAACACTTTTCAGTCTATACTTAGAAAACAATCAAGGAGAATTTAAAATCTTGAGCTTGTGACCTTGATAATAGAAGGAGTGCATTGTCAGAGCTAGGTTAATGGCTTATCAGAACTCCATTGATTAATGTTAAACCTCTAAGATAGGAAGAGAAAGAGCTGAAGCATTTTTTATTATTTTCATATACTTTAAATCACTTTATTACCCCTTAAGCTTTCACGTGCTCAGACCTTACATAAATGTGCCTTTACATACCTTAAAACACCTTCTAATACACTAAAAGGTTTCCTTGGGTCCTCAAAGCTTAAGTTTTAAATATTACACCTTTTTCAATCCAAGTATTCACCAGGAGACTCGGGTGGTCGATTGTAACCATTGCCAAGTAAGTTCCTTCAATTGAGAGCACTCAGTGCAAAGCAGTGTAAAGGAATAGTTAAAAAGTTACATTGAAATCTGCTTTGTCAATGTATCCTTTTCTGGAGTCTGCCCTGGAACTCACAAAGATCAACCTGCATCTGCCTCCTGAGTGCTGGAATTAAAGGCATGCACCACCACATCTGGCTGCCATTGAATATTTTAACTGACTCTGTTGATTTAAATTTGCATGATAGATTTTTGGAAGGACTAGAAAGTATTAGAGTTTTATGGTCACAATTGATAGCTCTGGAACCATTTACATATTCTCATCCAAAATGGGCATCTTCAAAGAAGACTGAGGTTCAACATTGACTGACTTCATATATAAATTAGTACATAAAGGACAGAGATGGACTAATAATAGAAAGTGACCGAATGAGAGAGAAAAAGAATGTTGCAGAAGAATTGTGAATGTAGAAAGGACAGAGTAGAAGGAAGCCTTTGGAATGAGGTACTTGAGACTGGAGTCTGGTTAACAAAAAGTCGGAATGGATGGAACATGAGGACTTTGGAGACAGAAATGGAAGGGAGACAAGAGTTGGAAAAAAGGCTTGATGTGCACCTTCACCTCAGCTTCCTTGCTTTAAAAATAATAAATAAATAAACAAATAAATCCAATCTTATTGAAGCATGACAGTAACACAGAACCACTGGCACCTCCATCTCTAGAAAATATTGGCAGGAAAACCAGAAACAACTATGATATTGTAAAGGGTAGGACCTATAAAATTTCTTAGTCCTAATGAATCCTCTGCTTATTTTTATATCTTCTTTTTAAACTTTGGAAGCAACAACAACTCTCAAAAATATTTTAGATTAGAATGGATTTTGTACAATGATTAATCCCTAAGGTTATAAAGTTAAACTCAAGTTAACAAAAATTAACTCAGAGATGCATATCTAAAACTGTAAATCCTATTCTTATAGAAGCTACTTACTACCTTATAAACTGTTAAAGATAATTAAGACATCTAAATTAATGGTCAACACAATCACCATATAAATGATCAAACCCTTTAATGTGCTACAACTAAGTTTGGAGTCATACTAAGTAGAAACATGATTCTTTTAAAAGGCGAGTTTTGCTCTTCTATATATGTTGTCAAAAATTTTGCCTAATGTAATTAACTAAAAACAAAAAAAATAGTTTGCTTAAAATCAGGTATATTTAATAGATGGCTGCTAGATCAAATTATGCATTTAGTCAATAATTTGGAAGGAACATAAGCAAGGAAATTTTATCTTTTTATTATCAAAACATCATTTTAAAACTACAAAATTTTGTTCATTGTCACAAAAAATTGTTCATTCCACACTGTTAATAACTGGCATGTCACATTAATATGTCACCAAAGATCTATTTTTCAGAGAGTCCCTTTATCAAGACTTTATAAATATACGCAAAGACTTTATAAATATACGCAAAGACTTTATAAATATACGCAAAGGTTACATCTAAAGTTACATCTTAAAATCCTAAGCCAGATGTGGTAGTGTAAATCTTGGAGGATATAGGTCCAAAAGAAGGGTTGGTGACCAAAATGTCTGGATTAAATACAGAAAAGCCTCTGGAGAAAGGGCTGCTGAACCACTGGGCTGGAGAGTTCAGGGTAAGGGGTGGAGTATGGCATCCATAACCCTGTAACAGGTAGGGAGTGAAGGACTCTGGGGGAACCTGGTGGCCAGGTCCAACATTGATAAGTAAAATAGGAACCTCAGCTGTTTGTTCAGGGTTTGAAACGTAAAAATGATCTTATCTTTTTTTCACTACTGAATATTTGGCTGTGCCTTTTAAGTTCCTTTCTAGAAACTCTCAGTTTATTCTAAAAAATGTAACACCTGAATAGAGCAGGTTATTAGCTTATTAAATAATGTGGCTACTAAAGCAACAGCTCATAGATAATCTCTTACTGATAAAGAGACTGAAGGTAAATTGTTTGTTCCACACTGTTAATGACTTTCCAGTCACTTTAACATGTTAATAAAGACAGATCTCAAAAAGGGTCTAGACTTTATAAAAAATAATCCATGGATACTGCCTTAAGATATATCTTAAAATCCTAAACAGGATGTGGTGGTGCAAACCTTTAATCCCAGTGCTGATGAGGCAGAAACAGGCAGATCTCTTTGAGTTCAAGGGAACTTTGGTCTACAGAGTGAGTTCCAGGACTGCTAGGCCTACACAGAGAAACCATGTCTTCCATAAGATGAACTCAGGTCATCAGACCTATCACAACCACATTTAGGCACTGTTAAAAGTCTCTGCCATTCATTGGCAGCACCAATCTACTTTAATAGAATGATGGGCATCGAAGAGGCTCCTTATGGAGTCTGTTAACCATTTAGAGGCAGAGAGAAGTTAAACTCTGATTTCTAAGCCAGCCTGGTCTATGTAGAGATTTCTAGGACAGCCAAAGGAACACTGTGAGATCTGGTCTCAATTAAACAAACATGCAAAAAGTATTCAGAGGCTCCCTCTGGACTCCTCCATAGAGTTAAGCATTCACTACAATTCTGTACTTGTCTATCATAAACTGGAGTGAGACTTTTTAAACTGTAAAGTTAATATTTCAAGAAAGAAATGTATTATTGGTAAGTTACTGATGACAGATCAAAGAATTCTCACAAAAGTAAATGATGATCGTAAGAATAATAAAACAACCCTCAACAATAATAAAATGATGGCGTATATAAAGATTAGTGAACAGATAAGATCACTTGTTGCTTTTGAAGAAGTCCTAGACTGGATTAACTGGATTCTCCCAACTGTTCCTAACATTAGGTTAGAGAACCCAGTGCTCTCACTGACCTCAGTAAATACCAAACAGACAAGTGGTACACATTCATATTTATAAGCAGAAGATTCACACAAGGCCAAGCGGCCTCTTTCAACAAATTGGCACCACCATGGTTGACTAAAATCTACTTAAAACTTGAGAGAGCTTGGAAAGGAATTGGAGACACAAAAACACAGAGTTTAACATAGCTCCTTGCTGTTTACTGGTGGCATGCTGCGGCACCTTTAAGAGAGGTTTTCCTGACTCATTGGTAGCAGAAAAAAGCCATGCCCTTTTTAAATGCTGGCTTTCTGGTCCATGCTGCCAGCATGACCTCTGACTCTTTCAAGAGGTCCAGCTATCGAGCCATTAAATGGGTTTTGTGAGCAGAGTGCTATAATTGTTTAATGGCGTGACGTAGACCCACTGCATACTTGGAACTGGGGCAATGTGCATGGCTTGCAGAGATGGTGAATGGACTTCCACCATGTTGGACTGTGCAGAGCAACCAGAAAGTACTGTAGATACCCTAGTAATGCCATAGCTTAAGTTTTTAAGAAGCGCTTAGCATTTTAAGAAGCAGTCTGGTCAGAAAATAATTATAAATACACAATAAACACAAATTCAGAGAAAGGGACCTCTAGATGAGAGTGTGTTTAAAAATGTATGTAGGCTTGGGAGAGAGAAGAAAAAAGAGTATAGAGAGTTATAAAAAGAAGTAAATGATTTTTTTTTAAAAAAGGTAAAGTCTTTAAAGAGACAGAGTACAGACAGTCATAGATTAAAAGGCTTAAAGAAAAATAAGCCAATTAAAGAAGGAAAATGATCATTGAGTCTGGATTATGTATATTATTGTGTTTCCCTTTAATTTTTTTGACTGCAAAGGAGCTAAATACAGAGACATTTCATTGTATGGGCTGCTAAGCTAATATCAGCATATATGTTCTAAAGGTATCATGATTTCCGAATTTGGATCTAAGGATATGTTGTTTTGAAAAAAGAGGTTCTTCTTATGTTTCCACAGAGGATGAGAACCTGTGGATTCATTCCAGGCTAATGTGGTTTGATTCACCAAGACCACCTGAGAGGTCACTGGGAACATCCCTCAAAATTACTTT